CTATGAACAAGATAGATGTTTGATTCTCTCCAAATTCAAATTTGTACATGTCTTATAACCCCTATTGATTTCTTGAGTGGTTAACCATGTACTTAGAAAGGAGTGTAATTATATACCTGGAGGGTGTTAAACCTGTTAAAAGGTAAATAAACACTATAAGATCACAAGGTACCATTTAGTTAATAACTAATCTCCAGCCCTAAATGATGTCCATGTGGAGGTAAACTGTTTAGACTCACATTGGATCCTTAACTGTTTCTAAAGTAGTTGTTTGCACTCCAGTTATCACTGACTAGAAATTAAGGAAGTGCCAGAAGCAAGTCAGTTGTTCAAAACTGGGAAGAAAAAAAAAAATTAGTCTTAGCTACACATCAGCTCTTAAAAACATAATTTTGAGGATGCAAATGCAATGAATCAGGGGTACTTCGACTTAAGCTTAAGCTAAGGTGATCATACAATTTATCATTCATTGTAGGAAACTTTTGAGAGTAAAACAGTACACCATTAACAATTTATGCTGGGAAAATAGACATAAATAAACCAAGACTTTCCAGGTCACATCCTAGCCGAAACCAATCTTTCGGCCGGCTTTCATTGACTCCATTTGGACTATTAAAAGATATACTTTATCAATATGAGTTTGATTGGTAAATGGTTACCAACCATTTACAAACCCTAGTTTTTCTAGGGCTGCCATAACAAAATTACCATGAACGAGGAGACTTAAAACTACAGAAATTTATTATCTCACATTTCTAGAGGCTAAAAGACTAAAATTCACATATTAGAAAGGCCACACTTTCTCTAAAGTTTCAAAAGGAAAATTTTTTCCCGGACTCTTCCAGCTTTTGGTGGCTCCTGCATGTTTTGGTTTCAGTGGCACATCTCCAATGTCTGCTGCCATTTTCATATGACCTTCTGCTTGTGCGTCTTCACTTGGCCTTCTCTTGAGGACACTAGTCATGGATTTGGGGCCCACCCTCATCCAGTAAGACCTCAATTTAAGTAATTACTTATTTCCAAATAAGATTACATTCTGAGGTTCCAGGTGAATGTGAATTTGGGGTAAACATCGATCTACCCAGGACAGTGACCAATGAACTATTGGTTATTATTTTACCAATCACTAGACATAATATTTTGCTGATAGAAAAATAAAAAAGTAATGCTGGGCATGAAAAAAACTTGCTCATTGGTATTATTGTGTCTCTTTGACAGGTTAAATAGAGGGACAACCCGGAAATCTACCATGGATCTTCACATCATTAAAAGTTTTATTTTAGGCAGCATTATCACTTTCAATGACAGTCTTACTGTGCTTAAAAACAAAGATATTTGATTCACTGACATGTACCAATAGATTGTTGAGAAATACCAAAAGTCATTAAATTCTTCAGGGCTTATACTGGGTTTGGAAGTTATTTTTAGCAAAACCTATAAAATTCTTAGAGTGATTCCATGACTTTTTTATTGCCAGTTTTATTTAGAATGCTAATTTAACATGTCAAACCCACCTTCAGAAATACTCATAGCGCAATCAGCTACATTTGTTTCTTAAAATAATTTTATCTTATCCTTGACTATGAGAAGAGATGGTATACCTTCTAGCTCTTTCAATGAGAATCGCTTACATTACTTTGGTCAGGTACCATCAAATGGCAGTAGTCCAGACTTATAAATTAATTCAAATCTACACAATAAATTTTCTCCTTGCCATTTCTGGGCCATGACATCATTCAGGAGACATAGACAAACCCATCAACATTTGCTTATGCTTGACCTTTCACACCATTCACGGATATCCTTCTTGTCTTTCATGATTAGCAACACATTTTTGCTCTCCATATTTTTACCTTTTGCTGAAGGAGACTGAAATATATAGGAAATATGGCTTTTACGTATGCACCTAGTCTTTTTGTACTGGAATATATACTTCATATTGAGTAACCTTCTCTGCCATGTTGCACCTTACCTTGTCACTGAAGGTAGGGATTGGTTGTACCTTTATGGACATTTCACTGAAGTGGTAATGAGCTGGCTCTTTGATGCAGACAACCAGGAGCATTAATTTTTTCAAAGCCACCACACTGAGGTAGAAGTGGCTGCTAAACATATCTCCTATGCCTATAATATTCATTTATTCATTCATTCTACATATGGAACACTCACTTTGTGTCAGTCTCTGTCCTAACCGTTGGCTATATATATATACACACACACACACATATACACACACACATATACACACACGCACACACACACACACAAAAACATATATATACACACAAACATATATATATAAACCTGGAAACAATACACAGTCTCTGCCCTAAGAGAGGGTATAATCTAGTGCACAACTTTCTTGTGTGTCCTGAATAGGTAACAGGTGTGTTAGTGCAGCGATCCACCTTAGCCTTCTGGGTGGCTGGGGTGGCTAGAGCCCCAAGGCTGATAATGTCCTCTTGTTACCAAAAATTCCATGTATTTTTTTCTGTATGTATGGTGATGTGAAAAATTTGGCGATGCCGTAATCTAATGCAGTGTTTCCCAGAATGAAGTCTGATGGAATAGTCGCACAAAATGTTCCTCAAAAGAGCAGGGAGGTTCCATTGAGAAATGAGTCTAGGAGCACTACCTAATGCTTATTCCCTCCTGCCATTTCACAGTGTAAGTTAGCCTTTTAAGGGCTCTGAGGAAAGCAGCAGTAAAGAAACCAATATAATTTGGTTTAATCCACTCCATCCCAAATTTATTTGACTACAGAACCCCTTTTTCCCATGAATTCTGCTACAGAAGTAGTCATGCATCAACAGAGCTCCCCTCAGGAAACTCTGGTCTAAAGAGCATGTCCTATGTCCGTAAGGCTGCAATTTAGAAGCACAGGTGGCCATTTGTCCTGCCCCATGAAACCAAAGAGATATTTCTCACCTTCCGCCTCCTCTTTTCTGCTGTCAATACCCACTCTTCGTTTTATTATCATTTATCTCAGTTGCCACAGTGAAACAAATAGTAATTTTGCCTCCAATTGTTTTCCTCTATTTGTCTTCTTTCCTGCCCCTGTTACCTTTCTTGTGGCTTCATCTTTTCCATGGACTAGCTGAGCTGATACAGAGATCACCAGTGGCCCAATGCTCCTTTACTCTCATCTGTAAATTGAACTATCATAAACATCGGTATAATCTGCACCTTTTCTCAGCTGTGTTATCTGTTCCTATATTTGAGAGGATGCTTCATTTGCTTTCACACAGGGTGTTCTTGTTGTCAATTCTGTTAGTTATCCAACAGAGTCATTAAAAAAGCCTGGAGATTTGAAAAAATTGGTCTCCAAATATCTGAGAATTGACAAAATCCAGAAATCTCTCACAGATGTTGGCACTTGTTACAGGCACACAGCCCATTCGTGGAGTGGTGTGTTCTCAAAAGAGACAAAGACATTCTAAAACAACGTGAGTTTTCCAGGCTATGAAGGGTACGGAAGGCTTGGCAAGCTAAGGTCCCCCGAGGACTTCCCGTAATATATAACAGTGGATGCGGAAAGAGCAGCAGAGGGCAAACCATGGCTCACCCACTCATAGACCACGGCGGGGACTGGCACTTTACAGAGAGGAGCAAAGACAGACCTGGGACCAGAAAGGTGGACCACTGTAGGACAGTTATCAGGGGAAGGAAGAGGTATCCAGGATGCAGGAAAGCCTAGCATCAGGTAGCCAAAGCCTATGAGAGTTAAGAAAAAATGGTGACATGAGGTCAGGACCACCAGGCTGTACACTATTTGTACATCAGTGTCACCTAGAGCACTTTTTAAAAGACAGATCCAGGCCCCTCAGCTGGCAATTCTGATTCAACTGATCAAGACCAAAGCCTAGAAATCTATTTTTCACAAGGGAAGGAGGTGAGTCTGCACTAGAACAAGAAACATTGCCCTTAAAATGGGAATTTTAGTGTACTATAATTTTCATTATATTTTATCCTTAAAATTCACTGTTTGTGAGAGATCATAGTAGAATTGTGTTTATACAAAACTCACAGATTTACCTATCTATATACATACTTCTGTGAGGGGTATCAGAGCATCAGCAGTGCCTTCTAAGATCCTGTGATGTCCAAATACAGTACTAAGGTGCTGTACCTATACTGTGGCTATCTACAGTTTCTAAACTGGGTAGTTCATTAGTGTTTAGAATTAAACATTAAACTTAAATATTCCATTTAAATAATAGAAAACATTTCTAGCTATTAGAAGCACTTTTACTACCAATTTTATGGAACTTTTTAGTTTCCTTTTTTTTTTCAGAAGTTCAGTTTTAAACCAGTTTTCATAGATAATTTTACATTACTTCTAGTGTCTTTTTTCAAGCACTTTTGAGACTGTGTTCAAAAAAAGCCTATTGAAGAGTAAAAGCTATACCTCTGTTCCTTAGTTTAATAAATTATAAAAACCCCTCCAGTTCTTTTTAGAGTGCTCTTGTAGAAAACCAAACTGATCACTAGGTTTTATTTATCACAGTATCATCAAGTATATCTGTACTTCTAATTTTGGTGTTTAGCATCTATTACCATAAAATACTTTTAAGTTTGAGAATAAATGCATGGTTTTATTCAGAAGCTGACAAGTAAGGAAAATGTTTTATTAATTTAAAACACTAGTTTCTATTTTGAAATTCATTTGCCTGTTTTTTGTTTTTGTTTTGCTTTTTTAAATAAAAAATTCCTTCTGCCCTGAAAAATTTCAATATTCTTACTTCTGGACAATGCTATGCACACAGTATGAATGGCCAGATTAGAATCTATTAATTCAGAATTGACCATACATAGTTCCACTGTGATTTTTAAGGTATGACATGCATACAAATGACAATGTTTCCACCTAGAACGAAAGTTCCCATACTTCAGTCTTTAAATGAAAGGGGTAACAAATGCTTCCTTTCAGAATCACACATATCCCTGGCTAACAGAAGTGATATTATTTTAAAAACTCGATCTGTTCATTTCTCCATTAGCCTCACCAGAAGCTGTGGAAAGAAGAAACCACATCCCCTTCTCTGACTGCATTTCTTCAGGATCTGCAGCTACTCCCCTCTGGCAGATATTCTTTCATAAGGCAGTTCTTACAGTACCCCTTGACATGCCACCCTCACCTACAAAAAGCTGTTCACATGAAGCAAAGTTAAGATTCCTTTTTTACTGCTTTAACTTTTGGATATTTTTCTGGAAGCTTCCAAATATCAGTAGAGAAACCTAGGGAAACATTCCTTTATTTTAAAAACTATGTGTTTATCATCTTATTGTGCTATGTTCTGTGCTACGTACAGAGACTATGCGATTTTTTTTTAATCAAATATATTACCACCCTTTAAAAGGGAGTTTCTGAACTAACGTGTCACACAGACAAGTAAACAATAATGAAAATTTGGTATGGACGGTGGCGGAATAGGAGAGTGGTTTTAGGTCAGAGGGGCAGTGAGCCCAGACTGAGGAGACAGAAGAGAACATCACAGAAGTTTCTTAGAGGAAATAATGCCAATGTTGAGACCTGCGTGATAAGCAGGACTTAGGTAAATGAAAAGAAAGGAAAGTGAGCATTCCAAGCAAAGGGAATAGCATATGGAAAGTCCCAGAGGGGAGAGAGAAATTTCATATGATGAATGTAGGAAGATGCAGAAGAATTGCAAAAGATGAGAATGGAGAAGCTGGGACTAGATTCTGAATTGCCTTCTTAGTATTATTAGCATTTGGCTCATTAAAGGAATAATGAGGAATAAGTTGAGAATTATTTCTTTGGGAAGTTTTAAGGGCAATCATAATGTACTCACGTTTTCTTTCTAGAAAGATCACTCTGGCCTAGTGTGGAAAATTTATTTCGAGAGGGCAAAATTGGAGGCACGGTGATTTTCTGACATATGGTCTGATTTTAGTGAGTAGCAGTAGAAATGTAAAGAAATAGACAAATTTGGGAGATCCTTAAGAGGTAAAAATCACGGGACTTGGTGATTTACTCATTTAGAATTTAAAAGTGAAACCCAGATTTCCAGTTTGGTCAATGAGTAGATAAATATGCCTGGGATAAGAAGCAGGGGAAGGAAGTGGGAGAAGGATCTGATGAGTTTGAGGTGCCTGGGAGACCCTAGGATACGAAGCTCTATAAAAGTATGATCACCTGATCACCTATAAAAAGGTGATCTGGGCTGACTAATCAATATTTGGAAGTCAGAGGCAGTAAAATGACAAATAGAGGCCTTGGGTGAGGATGAGCGCTCTCAGGGAAAGTGTTTAAAGTGAAACAAGAGAAGAGCCTTAGGGAAGTATCAACATTTAAGGAATCAGTTGGAAAATGGGAGCCTACACAATAGACTATGAAGGAGCAACCAAAAAGAACAAGAAGTGGGATGTGTGTGATTCTGAAATGAGGACTTTATTACCCCTTTCATTTAAAGATTGAAGTATGGGAACTTTAGTTCTAGGTGGAAAAATTGTCATTTATATCATGGAAACCCAGGGAAGAGAGGGCTTCAAAAAGGAGGACGTGGTCAGCTGTAGTGAATATTACTGAGAGATTGTGACGGCTAAGGCCTGAGAAGAGACTACTAGTTTTAACAACAATGTTGTTGGTAACATTGGTCATAGTAGTTTCTCTGAAGGGGTGACCAGAGAGCTGCAAGAATGAGTAGAGGTGAGTGCAGAAGTGAAAAAGGGGAGCAGAGACAACACTTGTAAGTGTCACTGTAAATGGAATAAAGGAAACAAGAGTTCTACCAAGGGACATGGATTGAGAGGGCCTTTTCCATTTTTATTTTAAGAAGGAAGACACTTGAGTATGTTGAAATGCTGATGGAAATGAGCAAAGACTGAGGGAGAGTTGAAGATACAGGAACAAAGGGAGATAATTGATGGAGAGCCCTTAAGGATGATGGAGGGGTTGAGATTCATGATGGGTTGGCCTTAGACAAGGTACATGGGTTAAAAGGCAAAAGAAAAGAAAGAAAGAGGGAAAGAAAGAAAAGAAGAAAGAAAGAAAAAGGAAGGAAGGAAGGAAGGAAGGAAGGAAGGAAGGAAGGAAGGAAGGAAAGGAAAGGAAAAGAATTGTTTTTTAGAGTAGCAATAGAATCTAGGTGGGATAAAGAATCAGGAGTCATAAAACACAAATGATAAATAAGATATGAAGGCCAGATGTTGTTGTGTATTTTAATAAGTTCCTAACTATCTTACTATACATATTACACTGGAAAGAGCCGTGACTTCGACAGCACTTCTGTTTACTAGTTGTGTAAATTACTAAGACAAGTAATTTAACTTCATTTTCCTAATCTATAAAAAAATGGAAATTTTATAAATCTACCTTGAAAGCCTATATTAAGGAATACATTTTGATCATGTTAAGTCAGTATTAACATAATGATGGTCCTGTTGTAAGATTCTCAAGTAACTGAAAACATATTTACTATCGTCTTGTCTTAAGAATCAGTTTTCTTGGTTGTCTTTAGAAGATAATAAGCAAAATCACTGGAAGACAACCAATAGCTTTAGCGTATGGATACACAACACATAGCATAGTGCCAGACACATAATATCTACTCAAGAAATATGCATATAATAAATTACTGAAAGACAGCTTGGGGGTTCCATCTATGTTATTCAAACCTTTGCTTTCACTATATTCCAGTAAATGCTCCAGCCTCAATCCTCTTCACTCTCTGCTAGTTAGTCACTTCAGGGTCATAGAAGAAAACAAATACATCACCTGAGGAGGTTTGTCTAGACTATTAATCCATTTTTGCACACACAGCCTACAAAGAAGAAAATCGCTTGGCTCACATGGCCCAGAAGGCTAGAGTAGATGGGACCTGATCTGTTGCTTCTCTCCTCTGTTACTTAGTGTCATTTTCAACATTGTCACCAATGAAGCTCACTAAGAAAGGATGCCTGAATTAACCACAAGCAAATAATTTTGGTCGAAAATGCATAGATTTAGTTCAAGACAAAAAGGAAGAGAATAAATATATTCTTAGCATAAAATGGTTTCCCACATCATTTTCTTTCTCTAAAGTTTATAGCAAACTTTGTCTCCTGAGAACAGCTTGAAAGTAAGGAGATGCTGAGGGGAAAACTCAGTGGGGAGAGCTGCAGCAAATTGCCCCAGATAAGCTTAAGGCAACTCCAGCTCTGGACTCCCAAGACGCTAATGAACCATAGATTCCTACCTCTTCCCAAGGCCTGATATTTACAGAAATGTTATCAAAGACATCTAAAGTTCCATAAAATATTGTATTTTTAAAAGGTCTTCAAACCAAGTCCTGTAAACCGATAGGAGTTACCCACTTGCTGAGAGTTAATAGGCTCTTGACTGAGTGGTGAAGTTTGAAAAGGACCATTAGAGACAGAACACAACTTCTCCCAGCGGCCTGCTCTCTTCACTGTTCTGAGGGCTCTGCCTTCGAAAGCCAGGCAGGGCATTGCCGAGTCAAAAAACAGAGCAAACAACTAAGGAGCTACTTATTTTGCTCTTAATAATAAAATGTTTTGAGGTCCAGGATTTCTAACTAAATCTATATGAGCCTTTTTATGCCAAATTATTGGATTATAATTGTATTTGGATGTCATAAGTGAAAATGTTGCATACAAGTTTTTCTCGCAAGATTTCACAGATTTTTCAGTATTTATCTATGTAAATATATTACAAGTAGAAACTGAGTTAATAAAAGCCCATGCAAATAATCATCCACTATTGTTGCATTTCAATTACTCCAGTCTCCAAATTACTATGTATATTTAAGATGCTGGTACTTTTTCCAATTTAAATTCTAGCAATTCCTGAATCATGTCATCAAGGCCTTGCCTGAGAATGCAGTAACATGAAAATTAGTTTTCTTACACTTTATTTTAATTTTATATTCAATAAGAATATTTATAGCATATGCAAGCAATGATAAGGATAATCACATTTCACATTTTATATTAGTACCTATGACTGGTGGAATGAAGAGGAATTTCTGTTTATTTGCATCCATCCTCTTCCCAACCCATACCACTGCCTTACTAGCAAAGTTTCTGATCCAAGTAGTTCCAATTATTTTTCTGAAAAAATAGAATAATGTTGAACTTGCAGAAGAAATGTTAAATTTGTAGGAAGAATGTTGAAGGACATGGTCTCTGTTGTGAAGAGTTGTTTTCTAAGTCTTTAACAGAGATTAAATAACAAGAATGTTACGTCTGGTTGTCTGCTCTTTACAAAACTTGAGAATTGATTGTATCCTTAAATTCTCTGTGTCCCTCACGCTAGGCTGTCACTTTTAGCTAGCATTTTTATTGGAGTCTGTGTCCCAGAAGCTTTAGAAAGGAGAGACTCTTCTACTCATCTATGCCTTAAAGAAACTATGACAGCAGGTGAGGCTATTGTGGAATCTGTTAAGTTGCAGGAACTCAGACTTCATTACATCCAGAACCCATTCAATAGGAATGCTTTTCTAGTCTTTAAAAAACTTCGATCGCAACTCAAGCTAGATATGAGGTTTTACTGCCTCGTATGTTTATACCTGATAAGATAAGGAGAGGAAATCATAAGAATTGTATATCTTCTTTGAAACCAATTCTAACCAACAATGGGGACAATCATGACTTTATTACTATATTCATAAGTTTTTTCTGTCCCAGGCACAATGTAAATATAAGGAGAACAAAACAGTTTTTCCTTTTCTAGTTAAATAAAAGTAGTTTCATTTTGCTTTGGAGAAATGGCAGTAAGTAGGGGAAGGGTAAAATTAAGTAATTACAAACGGTGTGCAAGAATATGAATATTTCAATACTGGGGTTTCCCTCTACTGCCATTACATACAAAAAGTAGCAAGATTACATAAATACATTTAAAATTGGAAATTTTTGTTTTCTATAAAAGTATGACACATTTTGTGGGCCAACAGCAAAAGATAGTTGAAAAGATAATAAATCAAACTGTAATACTCACATGCTTGTGCATGTCAAGATCATATGGGATGTTAAAGCATGATTTAAAAAATTGAATTGAGGTCCACTAAACAAAAGAAAGGCAATACATTACATAGTAAAGGTTCTCTCTGCTAGAATGTCTGAATTACCGACATAGTCAAAATGCAAGATATTTTATACCCTTTCAAAAGGTAACATGTTCCATAATTAAGGCAAAAGTAATTTATTTTGTTTAACATATATAAATAATATCTCTATTTCTCGACATCTTTCTCCTAGCATATCAAAATAATATTTTATAATAAATGTTAGTAAATATTCATGATTAATCATAAGTAAATTTTAGCAATAGAAATAAATATTACTTTCAGAATTCAATGAACTTAGAGTTCCAAAATAATCTAATCAATATACATTAACAGTCTACAACATTCCTGAGAAAGGGTCACACAGCTCCTTTCAATACCACCAGAAGCCCACTACTTTACAATAGAACTCATTCTCCTATTGAACAGCTCTAGTTGTTTAAAAATATGCAGTGGAGATCTGCCCCCCTAAAACATCCACTAAATTCCTGATGTTTCCTCTAGTTTAGGATCTTTTCAATTTACTCGGAAATGCTTACACAGAATCAGACTCTTCTGGATGAATCAGTGGCCTAGGAATTTGATTACATTTGAAATAAAGTCCTAATTAAAGTAGGGCATTACCAGAGAAATATCATTTGCCCAGCCCCCAAAGGCCTTGCAGACTGTAGTGAACAATGGGTAGGGTCTAGTTCTCTGGTCTGTACAACAGAAGTTTGACCTTATAAAACTTCAGAATTGAGTGGACTGAAGAAAGTTAACATGTAACCCCCTCAAAAAATAAACAGAAATTCGGAACTAGTCACTTCTCTCAATTGAAATATGTAACTGTTAAATGAGTAAGATATTCATGTTGTTTTGTCAAAGCCATTCCAATGTGAAGGCTACATAGAAGTCAAATTATTTTAAGAATGACTAGGCAGTAGAGCATCAGAACAAGAGAAATGGGTTAACTGACTAAATATTTAATAGCATCAGAAACTAATAACCTGGTGCATCTGTCTCTGCACCTGGGACTCTGGGTTTGCTAGTTCAGGTTGGTTTTTTTAAACACACCAACTTGGGTGGTTGCAGTGACTCACGGCTGTAATCCCAGCACTTTGGGAGGCTGAGACAGGTGGATTACTTGAGGCCAGGACTTCAAGATCAGCCTGGCCAACATGGAAAACCCCCATCTCTACTAAAAAATACAAAAAGTTAGCCAGGGTTAATGGCACATGCCTATAGTCCCACCTAATAGGAAGGCAGAGACACAAGAATCACTTGAGCCCAGGAGGTGGAAGTTGCAGTGAGCCAAAATCACGCCACTACATTCTATCCTGGGTAATAGAGTAAGACCATCAAAATAAAAAACAAAAACACACCAACTTGGAAAGCACTTGGATAGAAAATACAACTTAACTTTCAGAACTTCTTTGGCCAACCTTTAATCTTTGTCCAAAGGGAAACATTCTTTTTTATAGAAATATGGATTTAGTCAAATTTTACACTGTAATATTTCTGCTTTGATCCATAATGTGTTCTTTTGATAAATTAATTATCTAAACAACATCTTATTTTCAGCTTTTTAGGGAAAGGAATACAGGGGCAATGGTAAACACATACACACACACGCATGTACATACTGGACTGTATTGATTTAAGTCTGAACTGCTAAATCTGGCTTTGCCCCCTTTCTACCCACTTAACCTTACTTGACTTGCAGTAAAGTAAGGCCTCACCATTTGCCATTCTCTGTCTCTTTAGCTTTCCCTGTTTCTTTCCTTGCAAGCACCAGGGTAGAAACAATATGTGTAGCTGTACTATAGAACAGCCCACTTCAATAGCTCTTGACCGAAGTGTTGACTAGCAATGGGCATGAGCCCTATTAGCTCTGCTGCAAACAACTCAGATTATATCAGAAATTGTTCTTCAAAAGGTCAGGAACTCTCTAGAACAAACCATTTATAAACATGTAAACAGGAAACTAGTTGAGGATTTTAAACAGAGACATGAAGAGTTTCTACCACAGCCTCTTATCTGTTTTAGAAGAAAGAGCACAACCCTTACATTAAACCTCTTTTTTTAAATGGAGGACAGAGAAATCAATGTCTAAATCATAAGCTACTGAAGGAAACATGCAGACTTCCCGATATATATATAATTTTTATATAATTTAAAATGTTTAATGCTTTGTTATTGCTTAATACCTACTATACATAAACAAGATCACAAACACTATGGTTCATATACATGTTTGGATATTAGATTTCTGTGTTTCTACGCTTCTTAATATACTAAAATCTCATTTCTAAAATATGTCTATTCCATTACTAGCAGTGGTTATATATTCAGGTTTTCAATCAACTGATTTACTTGTTTGGATTGACTATAAATTTGTTGACATATATTGATGATTCCTCATTTTCTTGCCCAGAGATCATTTCTTCTACTCATTTATTTTCAGTCTCTCTGCTTTCTTATTTGACAGTATCCTATGAGCAGCATAACAGAGCATTCCAAGCTCATAAGGAATAGTGTAAACTGATTACCAGATTTTACGATGGAAACTATTCCCTGCCCATGTGATCACCCTGGCTGGATAATGAACTTTGTGAAAATATCCATGTCTTACCACACTAAGGCAACAGCCTCATTCAAACAAGCTCTTATTTTTCCCTTATACTTCAGTTCATAACTGTGAATATGGCACGAATCCAGAAACAAACTGTCAGTATGGGATGAGGTACAGTGTTAAAAATAAAATAGACTAAAAACTGGATTTTCACTTTTAAAAATTCTTGATATTCTTTTGTAACTGACAGAAAGAAAAATAGTCCTAATAAGATGTGTTTGAAAAATACTATAGCTGAAAAGACAGTGTATAACTGAAATTTAGGGAACTCACAGAAAATTTCCCTGCATGCAGGTGTTCAGAAGCACTGAGGGGTTACTAATGAACCCTAAATAGAAGTGTCAAATAGTTTGTTATGGGAAGAAAGTCCAGAAATAAAAGTGAAAATCAGAGCTGGTTCATTACACCGGCAGTGTGACTGGCAAACCCCACTGCTAACGTCTCCTTTAAACCGCAGGTGCATGGTTTGAGCGCTATGGTGTGTAGCCCCCGGCCCTGGCACAGAATGAACACAGCCTCCTCCATGGGTTCACAAATTGCCCTGCTTCCATTTTAGTCACATGTTCCCATGTGGGAAATTTCACCCAACACCACCACTTTAATTTTGGTGTATTTGCTTACTGCAGCTGCACTTGCTACCAAAAACATCATACCACAAAATTCCAAAGTAACTTCAAAGAAGAGGGAAGAAACCAAAAAAGTTCTATACATTCTTAGTTTTCTCCATGGAATTAGTTTGTTCAGTTTAATAGCAGTTATCAATGTGGAAATACTGTAATTCAAACAAACAAAAAAAAATCACCAACCATCCTAGCTAAAGAGACACAGATAAGAAACAAACTAATGATTTAAATGTCATCTACAGGCTCTCTAGTATACTGATGGTAAATCCCTTACAAATTTGGGTGTGTAACATAAAATATTGCCCATCATAATGATGCATATAAATATCTCTACACAAGAAAAGACTATACATATTTTACAACTTTTTTCAGACTTTAATGTTTTGCAGATGGCATCTGGATCTTAAAGATGTATAGATATTTTGCAGCTCTGCTTAATCATAAATAATACATTTGTCTGATTCATTAATACCAGAGGCATGTTTTTTCTCCCGATGAATATGCTTATCATCCATGACTGCCAATAATAAAAACCCTTTATGGAAATAACCCATTTCATAAAAATAGGAATTCACTTGCCATTTTCCATTCCTGCTGACTAATTACTAGGGTGTTGAAGAGTACCTTCAGATTGAAGAGTGTCTTCAGATTGAGTTCATAAAAGCTATATTTCTCATGTGTTTGGGCAGAAATTTTCAAGAATGTCATATTTCAGATTTAGTGAAAGCTCAAGGCAAAAGTTTTATCATGAAATGAACATATTAAGACTCAAAAGACACTTAAAGATGACATTACAAATATGAAGCAAATGTATTTGGACTAACAAAGGTCAAAAAAATTCAAATACCTACGAAAACATGGCAAAACAAGTAGAACATGTTGTAATGGCACGCAAAAGTGTTCATTTTAGTGTTTATTCTTTATCATGAGTTTAGGTTTCATATAGCATTGTTAATATAGGCCAAATATGCATTTAAATATATTTATAGTATTCAGTGTCTACTATGTGAATATCTACATAAGTTATTTTGAAATGACGTTTTCTTGTTCAACAGGTTTATTTTGGCAACAAAAAAAATGTATGGATGCTAGTGAAAATCATGTTTGCAGTAGATTTTAAAAGCCTCAAAGAATACATTTGTTGAAATTTGCATTCGGTTTGAAAAACGTGTGTTTAACAATTGAACACGGCCATATTTTAACTTTTAAGCTCTCTTGTTGTGAAAGTATCAAGGTATTACAGCAATTTACTCTTAAGGACATTATGCTGGGCTTTGAAATTTAAAAAATAGGATATTTCTTCTTGGAGTATTTCATGATCAATGTACAGTCCCTATGCGAGGAAAATTAAAGCTGTCTGACAAGTCCTAGAAACACCACTAGCTGTTAAAGATGTAGGAAATTGCATAAAAGCATAAAAAGCACTGGGTAATTTTGCAAATTTCATCTCTAAACACAATTGTAAAGATGTCTGTCTTTCAGTTCTTTCTTCCTCTTATTTCTGAAGCATAGCCCTTTAGTTCTTGCCGTTTTAAAATCTTTGCCTACCATAGCTTTGCTTCTTAATGTACTGGTTGATCTTACCAGGCTAAAAAAGTATTTACAGGGGGTGCTTGCTTTTATCTGTATTCACAGAGAATGCTAACAAATTAGAAGAAAGTGCCAGAGAACACCACATACCTTGTCCGGAACATTACAATGGCTTCTGCATGCATGGGAAGTGTGAGCATTCTATCAATATGCAGGAGCCGTCTTGCAGGTAACATTTTTACTCGTAAGCATAGTTAATGTATCAAGTTAATATGTAGAAACTAAATTGTGATGTTTATAGAAAATTGGTCGACATTCTTCTTGAATGGGTGATCAGCAACAAAACTTTTCTCTGCTTCTCCTGTGCATGTATACACACACACACATACACACTAAAAAATATATATGTGTGCACCTTACACACTATATAACACATTACTAAACTCTTCTAGTAGAATTTGAAATTGTACTTTGTGCATTATAAGCTCCTTAAAGGTACCAGTTCCTCTGTATTACCTCTCTTTCTCCTGAACACAGAATAGTACTTGGCATATATCAAGTGCTCAGTAAGTATTTATCAGACAAATGAATGGATGAAGCCTCATGTATTTTAGATAGCATAGTTGCTTCTCAGAGTTCATCTCTTCCTAAGTCCTTCAGGTCTTCTCATAAATATCATCAATCCTTGTTTTGCCAGGCATTCACTGTTTTCTATAGAGCTGCTCTCCCATGGAGCCTTGCAAAGTGAAATCATTAGCTATACCTCCACAGTTTCAAACTCAGTAGAGACACAAAGAAATTGCCTATCTGGATTTAGTTTGTGAATATAAATACTGGCCAGGCATGATGGCTCACACCTGTAATCCCACACTTTGGGAAGCCGAGGTGAGAAGATCACTTGAAGCCAGGAGTTTAAGACTAGCCTGGGCAACAAAGGAAGATTCTATCCCTAAAAAAAAAATTTTAAAAATTAAAAAATTAAAAATTAGCCATGCAGGGTTGCATGCACCTGTAGTCCCAGGAGCTACTTGAGAGCTGAGATGGGATGATCCCTTGAGCCCAGGAGTTCAAGCCTGCAGTGAGCTATGGTCACACCACTACACTCCAGCCTAGGCAACCAAGCAAGACCCCATCTCTTATAATATGTACAAATATATATTTATTTAAATACCTCCTGTGTATTCATGTCTAAAATATAATTATTTCAGAGATGGCAAAGCCAAAATGAAAACATGATTTATTTTTATTTTTATTTACATTAAGTACAAGTGACATATGATGAAATAGGTTGTATTTTCATTTACAACAGAAAGTTTCTCTCTCTGTCTCTCCCCCTCCCACTCTTCCTCCCTTTCTCCACCCCTCCACCTAGA